TTTTTTTTTTTTTTTTTTTTTTTTTGTTGGTGTGGAGCACCCTTTGCAGCGAGGGTGAAACCCGGGAGCTCCTTGCGGGACTCTGCTGTGCCGCCGTGTTCGTGGGGGTACGTGTGTGCCGGCGTTAAACGGTTTGAAGAAGGGCGAGAGGAGAAGAAACTGCTGAGGAAGGGTGAGGGCCCTTGGCTCTGGAGTCTCTTTTTGTGCTTAAGTTTTGAGGGACTTTCTTTGGGACCTGAAAACGAGATGATCCTCCGTGCCCGCTGCAGGTCCCGGTGGCTGTGTTTGGCAGTGGGGACCAGCTCGCCAGCGCTGCTGGTGGCCCGGGCCCAGTGCCCTCCTCCAGCCCGCAGACAGGTGACGATGTCACTGCAGTCATTGCCAATTAGTGCCGAGAGGTAACGAATTGCTGCTCCAGGTGGTCCCAGCTGAGCTCTCCCCGTCTGGGCAGGGAGGAGGGCTCTGCTCCTGGAGGCAGTGCCCCCCAAGGCCAGCCTGATTAATTCTCCCATTAAGCTGGAGACTGGGGAGTGGCTGATGGTTTATAAGGTGCTGGAGGATGTCCTGGCTCCATCCCTGTCTGTACCTGCGTGGGTCTGAGCAGCATCGCTCTCCTCCAGCCCAGGGAGGTGGGTACGGGCTCGCCGGTTTGGGCCTGACGCCTCGGTGATGGGGGGGCAGGTCTGGCTGGGGGAAACCAGGTGCTTGACGAGGGTGTGTGGGGAGAGAAAGGAGCTGCCTGTAGCGACGGGGGATGTTGGGAGCCCAGCATCTCCCAGGGCGGTGCGGATGCTGAGCTGGGCGGCTGCTGCTCCTCTCTGCCGGTGCCTGGGCTCCCCGTGGCTCTTGGGGAGGGTCAGGCTGCAGTGCTGGGGGGTCCCCCCGCTCTGCTCAGGCTTAAGACGGGGGGTGCCTGGCTCCCTGTGGCTCCTCTGCCCTAGGCGGGCACCAAGGAGGGCAGGTTTGCAGCCCTGAGCATCCTCCCCCTCGGGGTGGTGGTCTGGGGACGGGTGGTCCTGTGGCACGGCTCGACGCCGAGCTCCTCGCCCGCCGCGGGGGCAGCTCGCAGGGACTGTCACTGCCTTTGGGAAACGTCCCCTGGCAGCGAGCAGGACCCGCTGCTGCCCCCGAGCACGCTTTGCCTGGGCCGGGCTGGCGGGCGCTTCCCAACCTTTCCACGTCGCTCAACTTCCATCAGCCGCCGCCGCCGGGGGTCCCTGCGCCGGCATCCCGGGGGGGGCTGGTTCAGCCCGGTGGCTTCGGCCACACGCCTGGTCCCCAGCGGTGCCCGGAGCCGCCGGGATGTGCAGCGATCTGTTGCTAAGCAGCCTTTGGAGCAGCTCTGCCACGGCGAGAGGAGCGATGGCAACGCTGCCGCGGCGTTTGATAGCGCTGGGTAGGCTTGGGGTGCGCTTGGGCATCACCTGGCCGGGGACCCCCCCAGCTCCAGCAGCCACGGGTAAGTCATATAAACCCAGAAGCTTGCTTTTTTTTTTTTTTTTTAAATCACCATTGTCTTTCGTGCAATTAATCAACGTGAGTAAATTATTGTGACAGCATCGTAACGGCGTTGGGTTGGAGAAGGAGCTGCTGGAGGAAATGTCAACGTGCTGCTTAAATAAAATGGACTGTGCGCTGCTGCTCGGCTGCCTTGGGATGGATCTGGGGAGGATGATGGGGAGATGGGAATTAAAGGGGGAGGAGAAAAAAAAAAATATCTCTCAGCGCCTTATGTGAATTTAAAGGCAGCAGAGGCATTGGCCAAACCAAAGGCATCGGCATTCGGGAGGGCTCCCAGCGCTGGGCTGTGGTGGGGATTTGGCTGGGGGGTGGCAGAGGCAGGAGCAGCCCCATGGGCTCCCACAAGGCCGAATGCAGCGTGCCAAGTCCTGTCCGTGGGTGCCGTGGGGCAGGGTGGGTGCCGTGGGTGGGCTTGCAGGGGCAGCCGTGGGGTCGGGGCACCAGAGGACGGCCAGGACTTTCGTTGCTTTGTGTTTCTTGTTCACCTCTGATCTGTGGGTCGATGTCACCTGTGGACTGCAGCCACTATCTGCGGAGCCACGTTTAGCCTTAATTAACCACCTAGTGTCTGGGAAATTGCAGGGCCTCTGTTCCCCGTGAGGGTCTGGCATGGGGCTGCAGGATGCAATGGCCCTGGGTTTAGGACTCACTGGTTCTGGGTCTTTCCCAGAAGTTGAGTTTCCTCGCTTTCCTGCAGCGTAGTTGGAGGGCTCTGCACCTCGGGGTCTGGTCCCACCTCGCACCGGAGCAGCGTTGCTGGGCGTTTGGGGCGCGTGGGTCCCAAACCGCGGGAGCGCGGGCAGCACGTGCTGCCACAGCCGTGGGTTGCTCGATGCTTCACGCGGAGACGCGGGGTGACTGTCCCGTGCCCCGATGCCAGACCTGTCCGGTGGCCGCGGGTGGCTCCAGGCTGAGCAGCTTCAATCTGCTGCTGCCACGCGTTTCTGCCAGCTGAGGTCTGCCTCCTCTCTGCTTTCTTTTTTTAAAGGAAAGTCTCGGACGTGGGCTGTTTCCGGAAGCGCCATCCATAAAGCAGCTTCCCAATTTTGCCCGAACTTTCTCAAATGATTTGCATCTGAGATGAGACAAAGCATGGAGACTGGCCGCCCAGGGACATCGGGACTGGGGGGACTTTCGGCGCAGGGGACCCTGTGGGGCTGAGCTGCCCTCCTGCCCCCCCCATCTAGTTGGTTTGCAGCATTACACCGCTGTTTTGGCAGCTTTTGGGGGGGCTATTTACACCTTTTCCCCCCCTGCAGATAAATCCAGCAGCACCAAATCCTGCCTGACCGTGGAGGGGAGTGAGCAGCCTGCTGTCTGCTCGGGCAGCTCTGCGTGACCCCTGTAGCCATGCACATGTGCCCCAGGGGATGCTACGGGAGGGGTGTGTGGCTCCTGCACTGGGCAAACACTTTTTCTTGGGAAAGGAAGCCCCCAGGCGTTGCGAGATGCTCGGGGCAGAGGTGGACGTGGGGTGTGCAGTGTCCGTACCGGGTCCCCGCTCGGGACCTGGGGGTCCCCTGGCGTTCTCGCGGCACTCCTGGGTGCCAGGCGTGGAGGATCCAGCCCCGATGGACTTGTGAGATGGTGGCGAATGTCACTGCGAGCTGGGAGAGAGCTCCAGCTAAAAAAAGGTGTCTGGGGACTTGTGTGTGTGCTGGGAAGCGCGGAGGGACGGTTCCTGGGTGCTGCATTTGCTCTTCTCACCGCTTGGCTTGGGGAGGGGTTCCTGTTGGGGTCTTGTCACCCCAAAATACTCACCCCTTCTCCCCGGGTGTGGGGCTGGGGACCCCCATCAGGCTCATACCCTATTTTTTCCTTCCCCATCCCCGGCTCCACCATCCAACCGGGGCGTGTAAATCGGCTCCTGTGCCCGGGCTGGCCCCGGAGCTGGCGTGAGAACCCCATCAGCCTGATGGAGGACGCTGTTTGAATCTGTTTGAGTTCAAAACCTCCCGTTTAGTGTTGACACGCAGAAATAACCTCTCACTTGGCACCCGAGCAGCAGTTTGGGTTATTTGTTTGGGGTCTGGCTACTGGCAGTGAATAACAAGCTGCCACCGATGCTCTGTCTGCGAGTGTGTTTCGCCGAGTGAATGGACGGGCTCTGAAACCTGCTCTTTCAAACCAGATTAATCACATTAGGCTTTGTCAATGCAAAAATTACCTCATCATTGGCACTGGCAGGTGGTGTAGAGCAGCAGACTTATTCAATATTTAAGAAAGCTGCATTGCAGAGCTGAGAAGGCTGGAGAAATAGGTTGCCTGTGTCAGTGTCTTTGCTGGTGGAGACGATCTCTGCAGGCACCGCCAAGTGTGAAATGTTGCGCTCGCTCTAAAATCCTGATTATTGCACCGGGAGTCTTTAAAATACTGAATTTTCTGTTTTCTACCCTGCTATGTTATTTCCAGCTGGCTAAACCAGGGTTTTTGGGCAGCCCTGTAACGGTCTCTCTCTGCAGATGCCCGGGGGTTGGTGGTGGGGTGGGTGGCACCGGTGGCTTCAGGTCCTGCCCCGGGCACCAGCAGCCCCGTGTTCCTCCTGGCGCCCGTGGGGCAGGATGGGCTCGTGCCTCCTTTCCCTGCCCACCAGGGCTGGTGGAAGGGGACGGGGACCTGCTGGTTGCTGACACCGCATCTGCCGGGCTTTGGGTGCTGGCGATGGGCCCGTGAACCGGCACCTCTTGGCTCGGGGAGAGGCAGAGCGATTCACGGAAGGCGTTCAATCCTTTTTTATTAAGGCATGATCAAGTTCATGGGCTCCGTCGTACAGGAGTAATGGAGCGGTGTGATTAGAGTCATGTGGCTCTTCCTTAAGGCCAAAAATTAAAACCTCGCTTCTATTCCTGGCTCTGCCCGGGAGCAGCCGACGTCGCGTGGGGACGAGAGGGCCCCTCGCACCCTCGCTGATGGCAGACCAGGGGGGCAGCAGGTCCTGGGACCCTTTGGGGGCCCTGGAAGGTCTCAGCATCCTCCTAGGATGGGATATTCCCATTTTGTGAACTAAACGCTGCTGCATCCCATCGATCACGACTTGGTTTGCCACATCTTTTTGCTTGTGAGCAAGGACTTGGTGGGGAGAGAAAAAAGCCACTGTAAGCTGTTATTTCATTCTTTACCGCGCGCTAAAAATGCAGCAGCAAGCATTAGGACAAGCAAGAGTAGTTGCTGGAAGTCAGGCAAAGCAGATCTTCAAAAATCTATTATTTATAAGGGGAAGGAAAGGCTTATGTATTCCTCCAGGAGCCATCCCCGGGCTCTTCTCTATCCGCAACAAAGCGAAACACCCGCGGCCTCTCTGTTAGCAGAAAGTTCTAGTTGGGAGAGGGAGTTTTCCTCCCCGCTGGTTGAAGTGCCAGTTCTCCCTCTACCCTGTTAGGAAAAAAACAGGGATTTTTTTCCCCCTATTTATGGGGTTGGGGTGGCTGCTCCTGCACCGTATGACCTTGGGCAAGTCCCTTATTCACCCGCATCACCCCAAAAATGGGTGTCGGTGGCACGGTGCCGCCCTTCCTCCCAGGACACCCCATGAAATCTGTGTCCAGCCCCATGAGACCCCCCCCGCCCCGCTCCCAGCCACGGCGGGACCCTCCGTCCCCAGCAGCAGCTTGCTGCTGCACTGCAGGTTGTGGTGGTGGGGACTTAAATGAACAATTTGCTTATTTAACTGACCTTGTCAATCAGAGCCTGTTGGTTTGGCACGGGAATAGTTGCTGTATGAAACCAGCAGAGCGCTAATTACCCCACGTGTTTTGTTTCTTTTGGTTGTGGGTGTTTTTTGGTTTTTTTTTTT